AATAACATACCATTTCCAATATGAAAAAAACACTGAAACTTGTTCATTTATAGTTGTGAGTGTGTCTGTGCTCCTGAATCAGCCTCTCCTGTCTCCCTCCTCTCCCCCCCCTCCTCTTTGAGGCAGCAGCAAAGACTAGTTTTCTCTCAACAAGTTTTAAAAAATCTTACCTTTTTTCACCTAGTTAACTTTTTATTTATTTATTCATGCATATTTTACTAATCACATTACATTTCATTTAGCTGACGCTTTTATCCAAAGCGACTTATAATGACCGATTACAGGGACATTCTCCCTGGAGTAACTAAGGGCTAAGTGCCTTACTCAAGGGCACACTAGTGGTGGTGTTCCTGGCGGGATTTGATCTCACAGCCTTCCGATCTTCAGCCCACCTCACTCTCCATTAGACCAATCACTACCCTCTCAAATGGAAATATGTGTTTACATAAATGGTGACCACACCGTTTGAGACCCACTGAGAACTTAGACTAAGTTAACTATCGAAACACTCAGAGAGTCCTTTACCTCACCTGAGCTGAGGTTATCCCGAGCTTGAATGACACACAGAGACCAATCAAGGGCTTTGATTTATGATCTGTATGACAGTGGCCATGTCGGCAGGCCACATCATGTGGACAGCCAGTCACCCTGTGTGAGGCAGGCCACTTAACAGGCCAGAAGGAGGCGAGATCAGAGCAAGGGAGCGAGGGATCATTGTCTACAAGTTAATCGATCGCAGATGGCGTCGTGGTCACGGACGAATAAAAAAAAAAATGTATAAACATTTTTTTAATAAAAAAAATAAATAAAAACTAAATGGGTCGCGAAATATACTTGGGCGGCCGTTAATATACCTGGGCGGCCCGCCCAGGTATAGTCTATGTGTGGGAAACCCTGGTGTTGATTACCTGATGGATTTCATAAGAATAGACATCTAGCTTAAACTTGTCCCCATTTGGATTTCGGTATATTGCAGAAATAAGCTTTGTGGCCAACACGTGTTAATGATACTTCACACGTTTTTTTTCAGCAGGACGTTTTGTAATATATTTTAGTCACTTTTTAGCAACCCTCGTTTTTATGACACATAGAAGCTTCGGACCTGCACAAGTGGGGTATTTACTGACATATCTTTATATCGTAGAACAAAACGTGAAAATCTCTTCAGCTGTTGTTAACCACTGACCTTATTTCAGATTTTCTTGAGACAAACTGGAAGTAGTAACATGTTAAGTCATTTCTGGGTTTGAGGACTCATTCCTGCACCACTCGATTAGCTAATGGTCCATGGTTAAGACGTAATCAGATTACGGGTCGATTTATAAAAATGGGTATTACTAGCAGGTTTTCAAAGTTACAATACATTTTTAAATAAATATCAATATAATAAAGGTTGACGGTTTTCATTTAGCCTACTTTTATTCTTCTTTATTTTAAATATATATTTTTAAATGCAGTAGGTGGACAACTGATTTATTAACTAAGAATACTGTGTTTGCTTTTAATTAATGTATTAAAGTGAAACAATTGTCAACTATACCTTTCTGTACATAGCTAGCTTATCATTTAACCTATTTTTAATTCTAAATATATAAAATATTGTTTTCTCTTTCTCTGAGGTTACATTGTTCTGTTGTCTTACATACTACGCTTAAGTAAAAAATCTTAAAAATCCTAATAATATTTATTTTCTCTTGTATTTATTCGCATTGCATTTGATATGGAGGTAGTCCAAAAGAAGTCAGGTTACATTACTTTGATATTGTATTTAGATTTACTGAAGCCTTTCGAGTAAATCGCCAGAACGCCAAAACCTCCTCATCACTCCACCGCTCCCATGTTTTTTTTTGTGTTGCCATAAGTTAGTCTCTCTATGTTGCTAATGCTAATACTAAAAATGCTAATGCCAGCAAATACAATGGCGGCTTCACAAAACTTTTCAGAGTTTTACGGGGCGTGGTTTGCAATCCGCCCAGCCAATAGAAATTGATACTTTTTTTCTCCCCAGGATAGTACCACCTCTCTAGCAGGCACTAAAAATGGGGGTAAAAGTTCTCGGAACTAAGTAGGCCTACTCTTTTTGGTGTGAACGCAAAATTCCAGACACTATCGGAACTAAACGGGAAAAGTACGGGTAAAAGTACTCTGGTGTGAACGCGCCTATTGTGTTTCACAGTTTACAGTATAGCTGCAGGCTCAAAAATGTGCTTTTTTTTGCACGCAACAAAGCATGATTTCATTCAGTGTTTGTTTTAGAAGAAATAACCCTCAAATGTCACCACTCATTGTGAAGGGTTGTGTAAGGTCACGTTTATCTATTTCTGAATGCAGACTTGTAGAACTAAATAGAAACACATGACTGATGAGGAAACGTACAGCGGGGTTTATTTGGTCAAGTATACCTCATGACAGCAGGGAGGCCCACCACAAGACCAGTAAGTTAATATAGTTCCATATGCTCGAGTCATTCGAGTGCGTACATCAGTTTGTGTAAGTCCTGAGAGTAACAACACACCATACGAGGCCAACATCATCCAACGCTTTACTAACTAATTATGCAAAATGTACAGATGGTTGTTTGATTTAAAGCACACCCAAGGTAAACTTGCACAGGTGAATCTAATTAATTATGCTGATTAAATCGTTTCTCAGGAGTGGCTGAGGACATTTGAATTTGTGCATTTATTTCATTATTTCAATATAGAGTAATACAAGACAAAATATCCGCAAATTCTCACTAAGGGGATGCTGGAACAAGCTAACATTTAGCATTTTTCCTTGAAAAAGTACTCAAAAGAACTGATTATAAAAGGATTTGCTTGATTCAATGCCTCCTGATGCAATAAATGATTATTAACTACTTGTTTGTATTGCACTTTGTGTTGTATTGAGTGCTTCTTTGATAAGCTGATTGACAGAAATATAATCCTTTACTATTGTTGATAACCCAGTAATCTTTTAAATAATTGTTCATGCAGAATTGTCAGAAAATATGCAGCCTCTTAAATATCGAGATTATATTCTTTTCTCTGTTTCACATAATATTAAAGGGAATATATTTGGCTTTTAGACATTCAAAAGCATCACTTTGGACATTTTTCACTAGTTTTGGACTTAATAGGTAATAAGTATGATCATGAGTTCGGCCCTTTTCACCCTCTGTCTGAAACCAGAGCCCAGTCTTCTCTGATTTGTTAGCTGGCCAGCTTTTTTGTAATTGAGCAACCACTTAAAGATGTCCTGCCCCTTAGCCTATCACGTACAATGTGTTGGAGCGCTAGCTAGCCAATAGAAGCGCAAATGTTACATTTTTGCTTTATTCGATAACAGGAAGGACTCAGCTTTGATACAATGGGTCCATGATTAACCAGGTAAGCTAACGGGGCATACCAATTCAGTTCTTTGTTAAGATTATTTTATTTTAGCGACCAACCCTAAAATAAGGCTTGGTTAGCGGAAGCTTGGGCTCATCACTTCAATCTGCTACACATCAACATACTTAAGGAGAGGCAACCAATAACAACTGAACTACAGTGTAAGTGTATACAGTATAGTAAGTGCATCTGATCAATAAATGGTACTTAGAACAAACCCAAATTCTCTTCTCCACTCATCTTAACTTCCACTCTCCCCTGCTCTATACCCACCCCCCGCCCTCCCTCTCCCCCTCCTCCTCCACCCATCTAAGCGGTGATCTGGACTTATCCTGAGAGGAAGTGGGTCAGTTGTGCTTTCTGACCTGCCTAGAGGAAGCTGGGTCATTAATACAAAGCTCAGATATGAGGCTAGTGGCCTACAGACCCAGCCAATCATAGCCTAGCAGCTCCATCTGACAGGTGTCATCTCTCTAGTTGCTGGGTAGGGGTCAGATACGTCTCATAAACGTGGAAACTACTACTACTGTAAAAACCTCTAAAAACTCAAACTAAAGCATTGTGATGAACTATAAATATACTTAAGCTAAAGGCAGATAAACAAACAATAGCAAACAAATTCTGAAAAAACTGAAATCTGAATAAAATGAAAAAAAAAACTCATTAAATATTTTATATTATTATAGCCTTGTAGAGAAAATGGAATCAGCAGGTTTCGGACGTATTGGTAACGGATTAAAGTTAACAGTGTTAGGTCATCTGTAACTGTATTCCCTAACAGTTACATTAAAAAAAGACATAATCAGAATACTTTTGCATTTCTATAAATTAGAGATTACTAGCAGGATTACAATGTGACTAAAAAACTCAAAAGAGCATATTGTTTCTTGTAAAAGGATCAGATTTGATTCCTTCTCTGTAAACTGTACTGTTCTATAGCCTAATATTTTAAGTGTGAATCTATACGCCTACTGCCTGAATCTGATTTATGGTTTTCACTGTCTTTGCTGAAAATGAACCAATGTGTGTGAGCTGTATGTGTGTATTAAACTAAAACGAAGCATTTTCTGTCAGCTCAGATTTTATTTCTGGGTTTTTTAACTGTAGTTTGTGCTCATGTGTTTCAGTGTTGGTGTATAGGCTACTTCCTTATTATGTTTAATGAAAGGCAGGTTTTCCTATCAATTATAGCATTTGTGATCTTGTGTTCTCCTTTTCTAAGGTCACATTGTTCTTTTTTGTGTGTTTATTTGGTTAAATTGGATATTGAGGTAATCCAATAGTAACAGAAAGTAATCAGGTTACTTTTATATTTAGGTAACTAGTTATTGTAACAGATTTCATTTGTAAAGTAACCCTCTAAACTTGAGACATGTCAGGTTATTATATCAGGACTTCAAATGCTTTACATTTAATTTGAACAATAGTGCCCCCATTTGGTCAAATCCAGTACTCTCGGAAGCCTTAAACATTGATGGGCTTTACAAAGTGTGTGAAACTAAAGAAAAGTGCCCAGCTACGGCTACATTCGGCCTTACCCTTTGATACTGATCCAATCTGCAGCATTGAACCCCAAACAAATCAACAAGCTTCAAGCCAGCATGAGCACCAAGAACATTCTCTTACCGTTGAGTCCCTGGTTGGGGAGTCGGACACCCTGTTGCTGCTGCTCGGCTCCCATGATGAAGAGCTGTATGCTCTGCTGCTGCTGAAGGCCTCCTGGGTGGAGCTCCGCGAGAGGGCCTCCTGAGTAGAGCTCCGCGACAGGCCCGAGTAGCCATTACGGGAGCTCGCACCATACGAGTTGGCCACATCGGTGGCCCGACTGCGGTAGCTCCGCAGGGCACTGCTGGAAGAAGACGGGCTGGAGGATGAGGAGGAGGCATCACTGAGGGCCAGAGAGGCCAGGTCCCTGCTCAAGTCAGTCTGGGAGACAGATTTCCGTCGATTGAGTGAGATGCTGGAGGCCGACGGTGAAGAGAGGTAGCTGGACTGGGCAGAGGAAGAAGAGTAAGAGTTGTAGCCGGTGTACGCTGACCCCCCGCTCAGACCCGACCCGCCGTAGCTCTTGATGGGGGTTCTGCTGAGGCTCTCGCTCCGGCGGCTGCTGCTGAGGCTGCTGCTGAGGCTGCTGCTCCCAAGAATGTCAGTACGTGGGATGGTGCGACCCCGGTCAGGTTCTGAGGAGGTGCTGTAGTTGCGGCTGCGGGCGGCCGAGCTGCTCAGATAGCTGGAGGAGGAGGAGTAACCTGAGGAGGAGGTGGAGATGGGGGACTTGTAGGTGGAGGAAGAGGAGATGGGGGACTTGTAGGTGGAGGAAGAGGAGATGGGGGACTTGTAGGTGGAGGAAGAGGAGATGGGAGACTTGTAGGTGGAGGAAGAGGAGGTGGGGGACTTGTAGGAGGACCGGTCGCTGTAGGAGCTAAGGCCTGGGGTCAGGGAGGAGCCGTAGGAGCTGTAGTGGCTGCTGTAGGAAGGGCTAGTGTAGCGCTTGGCGGTGGAGGAGACGCGGGACATGCTGCTGCTGCTGCTGCTGCTGCTGCTGCTGCTGCTGCTGCTGGTTTCTCAGCCACAGGGAGGGAGAGCCTCTGGAAGACTGCATCGACTGCAGCCACAGCAAAGACACACAAGTATTAGTTCATCAGCAACAATCAGATCAATACTTACATTACAGCAACATTTATCCTTGCTTCACTAAGCATTAAACAGACTTCAAAGACAGAATGACTCAGGAGTGTGCATCACTGACTTTAACATTTCCAGCTTTTTGGCCTTTATTATGAAAACCGGAAATATATACTATGCTTACTGTGGAACACATTACCAAACACTGACACCACTTTAATCCATTATCTACTTTACATTACTATAACTCATTCAAAGTGCTCTAAAGTTCTTCATGCGTTGTTTTTCACTGTCTCTCAGGAGGACATTAGCTTCAATATAAACTTCCATTATTTCAAGAATCTTTCTGATTCTGATTCTGATAGTGAACATCATGAGCTCTTTAACTGCTAACACTGTCAAGAGTTGATGTTATTTCTGCGTGGTACATACAGTGGTGAGTGCAAATTGCTCTGAAATGTCTTCATAACATTAGCCTACAGAGATCATTGAGTTTTTGACACATTTCAAACCCCAGTGAGTAGATTTGGAGCATGTAACCAGAAATCAGTGCTCACGCTCCTCTGCAGGCTTCCTGTTATAAATATATAGTTTGTTTGTGCAAGCTAATGTTGCTCCCAGCCCCTGACAGATGTTGCCGGGCCAACCACAAAACCCTTTCCTTCCATGTAGTAATTGAGCCTGAGTGTTACAGTTCAATTCAATCATAATTTCATGATTAGGCAAACGAAAAAGCAATGAAAGGCACTTCAGGATGAGTTTACAATAGCAATGCTACAGTGTATGCATCATGACAGCAAACACTTCCATGGAATAGCACCATTAAATATGTAACGCACCATCAAAATCGCAAAATGAACTAGTGCATTATTCCAATCGCAGTGCAATATTTAGTAAAGGCAAAATATGTGAAAATATCCTTTTGCATGAAGTATTGTTGTGCTGAAGAGAAGTACCGGCCTACAAACAGTATTCAACAGACCTAATATAACAGTTCATTATTTTGAACTGACTCTTGTGGATCAGAAACCATGGTTCTAAAAAATGTACTTAACATTTTAAATATTATTTGAGTCATAATTGGTTTAATATTTACCACTGCTATTCCTTCGTTTACTTCTGTAACAGAGTGACATCACTACGTAACACTTGCGCTTCTATTGGCTTGCTCTTCAACTCATTGTACGGTTGAGGGGTGGGACATCTCTAAGCAGTTGACCAATCACAACACAGGCGGCTAGCTAACCAATCAGAGCAGACTGGGCTCTGGTTTCAGACAGAGGGTGAAAAGAGGTGCTTGCAGCACAGGCTGTCAAGATCTGTGTTTATTGTATTTTGTCTTGTCTTTTTCTGTCTTTTGTTTCATGTTTTATTTTGAAAGGTCTTCACCTCCTGTCTTGCCTGTTTCTGTCTGTGTTGTGTTTTGTCTTGTCTAGATCTGTTTTTGGTATTTCTGTCTGCGTTGTTTCTTGTCTAGATCTGTCTATGGTTTTCTGTCTGCGTTCTGTTTTGTCTTTAGATCTGTCTGTGGTTCCCTGTCGTTAGTTTCCCTGGTGTGTCTTATTACCCGATTGTGTGCACCTGGTGTCCCTGTGTTTTCTCCTCCCTCCTCACCTGTGTCTTGTTTGTATAATTAGTCTTGTGTGTATTTAAAGGGAAAAGGAAACACCAATTACAGCTATAATAGTCCGGTAGTTTATTCATTTTACAATGGATATTGATCGTAATATTTATTGTATATGATATTACTCGCCAAAAGAAAATTAATTATCCGCCGGCCGGGTGGGGAATTCCGGGACCAGGAGATTAGGGGAGTCCCAAAATGGTGACGTCACTGGGTGGGTCTTCGCTCCGGGTATCCATACCGGAAGTCAACACAACGTAGCAGATATGGCAGCGATGGAGGAATTTTGCAATGAGATCGACGTTTTGAACGATGAATTTGACTATTCGTCGGGAGATGACATTGATGTGGAAGCATCTACAGTTACCAGGCATCCCATGGCCTATGCTTATGAACCGATTCGGTCGAATACTAGAGTGGCATACGATCCGGAGTCCGCCGAAAGTACCGACGGTTCTGAACTCGCCGAGTGGGATACCACCACTTCCAGTACCGACTCGGTCTCAGTGGTCAGTTGACATATATTTTGTATTATTTTCCAACACCTCATACATCTTGGCAATACCATCCATTGGACACCTAGACCAGCAATACTAGCCTTTTTAGGGCTGTTTTCGACAGATGAGCGTGTGTATGCCAGTTTAATTAATTGAGCTGTAGAACACCCCCAATTCTCCATTGTACGTCATAATAATAGCTACCATTTAGTTTGGACGCGATTGCGTTAATTAATAAGGTCACACTGTGTCAGTAAATACATGTGTGAGCTAGTAATCTGGTAGTGCTGCAATATTTACCTCTCTCTCGGCAGCTGAAGCAACTCGTTTGGTGGCTCGAACTTCACGTTTGTTGATACTGTCATTGTCTTGCGCGGCCGACGTGCTGACGGTCGGTGTTCCCGACTGCATACGTTGAGAAATTGAATATTGTGGGAACAGATCCTGGCTTCAAATCCGATGTTTTGTATTGAACCAGGCATCCAGACTCATCAAACCTCATTTTGTGGACATAATCGTCATTTTTAAAGTGTTCGCTGCACACATGTGCGTACTGATTCAGCGGCGGATCGGACCGTTTCATGGAAATAACCCATGCTTTGAGCAGCTTCTCATCCGTTAGTGGCAGCCTATGGAAATGTACTTCTTCCTTCTTCGTATAAAATCCATTTGTGCAGCCTGGGGCAATACAATAAACTCCTGACGACGACAGTTTTATTTTAATGTAAACTACTGGTGCATTGCACGCCATGTTGTTTATTATTGAGCTTTGGCCCAGGAAGCCGTACCCAGTCAGTGACGTCACTGGGAAAGTCCCGGAGCAATGGAAGCGCCCATGGTCATTAGGCACGTATTTCAAAAAATAAATTTGCGTATCTGGATCGTTTACATTGGAAATAGACTAGATTAAATACATTTCCTAATGGGAATATTGTCGCATGGAAAGCAGTTTGAAAAGTGTTTCCATTTCCCTTTAAGTTCTGGTTCTGTCTGTCTTTGTCGGTTCGTCTTGTGTTTTGACTTGGTCTTCGGTGAGTGTTCTGTTCTGTCTTTGTTTCTAGTATAGCCTTGAAATAAAGGAGATATATTTGACACTTTAATCTGCATTTGGGTCCTGCTTCCTGCACACACCGTAACCTTACGAACCGACCTGAAATATGGGCCCAGCAGATCCTTTTGAGCAGGAATTGTTGGATTTAACTTTTTCTTTGGCTACCTGCTCTGATCGATGGATGGGAGCGTCCGGGGTTCAGCAGCGAGAGGCTGCTCTGGCAGATGCGCGCCAGATAACTATGGAACCATACACCCCAGCGCGTGCACTACGCTCTGCATCAGCCAAACGACTCGTTGCGCCCTCGCTGCGAGGGGGACCCAAGTTCCCATCGGCGAAAACACGTGGGTTTGCTGTCCTGGCTCCAAGATGGTGGAATGAGCTCCCCATTGACATCAGGACGGCAGATAGCTTGCACATCTTCCGGCGCAAACTGAAAACTCATCTCTTTCGACTCCACTTCGAGCGTTAGAACGATTAACGAAGCACTTTTATACTAATAAAGGACTGGATTACCTAAAGCCAGTTGAGTAGCACTTGAAATGTTTGGCTCTATGAAACCTGATATACTTATATGATTCTGTTTTCTTCAAGGTTGTGTCTTCCTGGTCGAATGTACTTATTGTAAGTCGCTTTGGATAAAAGCGTCAGCTAAATGCAATGTAATGTAATGTAATGAGAAACCAGGCTTGGTGATATTCTTACCAGGCGGGATTTTGGATTTCCTCATGGTGTGTTATCCCCTGCCTGACAGCCCCAGGCCTCCCAACTCCCGTTATGACACCACACGCATCGGTGTGGTCCGTTTGGAGTCAACCCTGGCTTCTGCCCCATTGCATGCTCCTGTCCAGGAGCCGTTCTCTGGAACTCGTCTGGCCTTTGGAGGTCCACGGAGCCTCCAAACGGCTCCTAAAGGAAGGAGTCGCAAGGCCAGGTTAGCAGCCCGAGCCCAAAGATCCATGGTTCCGGCCCCTGTTCTGGCCCCAGCAGCCATGGTTCCAGCACCAGTTCTGGCCCCAGCAGCCATGGTTCCGGCCCCAGTTCTGGCCCCAGCAGCCATAGTTCCAGAACCAGTTCCGGCCCCAGCAGCCATGGTCCCAGACCCAGTTCTGGCCCCAGCGGCCATGTTTCCGGCCCTGGTTCCGGCCCCAGCAGCCATGGTTCCGGCCCCAGCAGCCATGGTTCTGGCCCCAGCAGCCATGGTCCCAGACCCAGTTCTGGCCCCAGCAGCCATGGTTCCGGCCCCAGTTCTGGCCCCAGCAGCCATGGTTCCGGCCCCAGTTCTGGCCCCAGCAGCTATGGTTCCGGCCCCAGTTCCGGCTCCAGCAGCTATGGTTCCGGCCCCAGTTCCGGCCTCAGCAGCCATGGTTCCGGCTTCAATTCCGGCTCCAAAACCGGCCCACACAGCCATGATCCAGGCTCCAGAACTGGATCTTACAGCCATGTTTCCGGCTCCAGAACTGGATCTTACAGCCATGTTTCCGGCTCCAGAACCGGCCCATGCAGCCATGATTCCGGCTCAAGTACCGGGCCCAGCAGCCATGGTTCCGGCCCCAGTTCCAGCCATGGTTCCGGCTCAAGTACCGGCCCCAGCAGTCATGGTCCTGACTCCGGCTCCTCGTTACCTGTTGACTCATCGGCCGACGCCAGATCCCCGAGTCCTGTCGGCATACCGGCCGACTCCAGCACCTCGTCTCCTGCTGGCTCTCCAGCCGACGCCAGCGCCCCGAGTCCTGTCGGCGTACCGACCGACACAAGTTCCCTCTCAAGTCCCCTCTCAAGTTCCTACCCGAGTCCCCTCTCAAGTT